GGGGTACGTCATTACATTATTTCACAAGCACATGACATTCGTGAGTGTTTTGACAAACCATCGATCTGTTTGTCATCATCACATTATAATTATTTATTCCTGTTGAATAATGGGTAGGGCAACTGTAATGAGTCAGCCATGAGGATGGATGGATGGATGGATGGATGGATGGATGGACGTAACGTATGTTTGTCTGTCCGTCTGTCTGTCTGTCAGTGAGTGGAACTGTTTTGGGTGTGCTTTTTTTGGTCTCCATTTGCACAAATTAAATCATTTAGAATGTTGTCCTCTATGATAAAGCAGGCCAGGGTCAACGCACTAAGCGGGTATATAACGTCCCAGAGGAAAAACGGACAAGCTGTAAATGTACATTGGCAGCGTCTAATTCATCCATCGCTGTCCCCTAGTACAAAGCAATGCTTTCAAGGGTGTGCTTTTTCTTCGATCAAACGCATATATCAGCTTCTCTGTGGTTAACGATGAGCTGTTTTTTTTTCTCTTTTCTTTGTCTTTTTGGGCTTTTTATTTGGGGGGGGGGGCAGGGATTATACGCAAAAGGGTATAGGCCTACTTTTGTTTTGAATCAATAGGCTACGACAGTGAAATGCCTCCCTGTTATAAGGGTGGTAATCGAGAAGCAAAAGAGCGGTTCGGTGCAGTAAGGTTTGGCAGTTATATACATTCGCCATAACCCCCACTTTGATTTTTATTAAAAAGATGTTGTTTCTATTCGTTGTTCTTATTTCATGGATGAATTAGGGTTGGTCATTTTGTTTCTTTTGAAATGATTTAGCAGCAATTAATGATTAGCGTTGTGGTCTGTTTTTAATCCTTTCAGTCCAATTTTTTACTATTCTTTTTAATTTGCCAGTGAAGCGAATAAAGTTTTTAAGAACACGACACTAATGAACGTAAACGTCTTAAAGACATTTTGAAATAAGACTTCCCCTTTTCAGTAGATGTGGTTTCTCTAGACGTCATTGCTGATGCGTTGGGAAATAATTTGAAATTTAATGTTTTTGAGTGTTTTGCACACGGTTCAAATTTAAAGTATTTAAATTTTTACACGACTACGTTTAATGGTGATTTTACGGCGACGATGTTCCCACATAACGGAAAGTAGATGTAATCAGTGATTATTTGATTATTTAGACGCTTCACTCGTGTAAACTTAAGGATTTAACGCCAATTTCAACACAGTTGGGTTATTTATGAGGCAAGACATTCATTTTATAACACCCATCTCCGCAAAGATAAAACGCATTTGAAAAGTCCGCAAAAGAAAGACCCGGAGTTCAAGAACACCCTGTTGGGATTTCGAACCAGGGCCGTCCCCTCCATAGTCCAGCACGAGACCAACTAAGCTAACGGGATGCACGTTTTCAAATTCCTTGCTAGCTTATCGGAGCACTGACTGTGAGGGGGCTCTCGTGGCCTAGAGGTTAAGGTGTTGGCCTCTCATTTAAAGGTCCCGGGTTCGAATCCGGGTAGTGACCGAAAAATTTTCTTCTCTAAATTTGTCTCTTTTCACCTTATTTCCTGCTATCTAGCAATGTTCTGTCGTCTGCTTTCGTCTCCTCTTTCTGCCCCCACTCCCTCATCTCCTTTGACCTCCTCTGGGCTCCTGATTCTTTCTACAGCCTTTCTACTTCTACTTCTTGGCTTCTTC